GCCCCCCCCCCCGCCCCGCATCAGGCAGCATGTTTTTTCATGTCTAGACGCGCCTCGTGATTGTGCATGCAGGCCCTACAGTGCAAAGATAATGGCCCTCGAACAGAGAGAATTTTTTAAAGCAAAGACATTGGACGTTGTCATAGGCAACTTTAGCTGCAATGGTACCACGTAACCGACCGCCCCAGGCGTCCTCGGCGGGCCGCGGCATTCGTGTTTCTTGCAGTGAGCCTCGGCGATGCTGCCTTAGCCTGTGGGTCGTGGGCCTGGGCTCCAGGCTTTGGGTTGAGCTCCCGCCGGCTCCACGCATCTCAGTCTGGGTCAGTGGCCCCACAGCAGTGATGGGAGCACGAGAGGAAAAGTGCAAACACGTGGAGCCCCTTAGACCTTGGCTCAGAAGCAGCATGGTGATCCCTTCTAGTGAACGTTGCGTTCGCCAAATGGAATCGTATGGTCAAGCCCAGATTTCAGTGGGGTGGGAAGAGGTGGGAAGAAAGCACTCCATTCTCGTGCACTGCTGTACGGTCACTTGGATGGGAGAAGGAGGGAAAGCTCGAGAACATTTCGTCCTCCTAAGTTACGCCCAGAGAACACGGTTCCCATACCTGGGGTGGGAGTGCCATGAACAGGGATCCAGGCAGCGTGAGAAGCTCCAAGGAGTCTTGGTTGGTAGAAGCAGTAAGTGTAAATACATTCAAATACACGAATAGGTTTCTGTTGTCCCATCTGGAACATGCTGGTTTGAGTCCGTTAACGGGCAGGTGGCTGACCGCCTTCCTCCTTGGTGCATGAGCCAGAGGTCCAGCCCCCCCTTCCCTCCAGACCTCCAGACCCACGGGCAGCCTTCTGCCCTTTGGAGCGGGTTCCTCTGAGCATCTGCTTAAAGTTTCAAAGATATTTTAAAGCTTACTGTCTGAAGCCTTTGGCCAAAAGAACACCCCCAAAAATTCGAGACGACTGTTAGCAATTCTTAGTGCCAATGATGAGAAGCAAGCTTGTGGCTCATCCACAAATAATCTGAAGGTTGGTTCATATTAGGAACCCAGGCCAGTGAGCTGCCGCACATCATAGCAGCTTTGCTTACAAGACTTATGAGATGCAGGGGCGGTTTTGATCTAACAGTGACATGATTTACTGTCTCACAGACCCAGTGGCCATTGTGGTGAAGACTGATTTCTGTAAAGACTGTCTCGTTTAAAGAGCCATAAATAAAATGCCTTATGGGGTTTTGGAGAACATTCCTAATCTGCTTTCCTTTAACTGAAGAGCCCATGGTTGCTTAGAGAAAAAATAAAACGTGTTCTTTTGGCTAAACATGTGAAAAGGAAGAAGGAAGTGAGTACTTATTGGATGGTGAGGTGCTTTCACATCCATCCCCATGCAGGAGAAAAGTAACTTGTCGGTCTGAAAGCTGCCACTTTAAGAAGAATGCATGGGGGGCGCGCCTGGGTGGCTCAGATGGTTAAGTGTCTGCTTTCGGCTCAGGTCATGATCCCAGGGTCCTGGGATGGAGTCCCACATCGGGCTCCCGGCTCAGCGGGGAGCCTGCTTCTCCCTCTGACCCTCGCCCCTCTCATGCTGTTTCTCTCTCGCTCGCTCTCTAAAAAATAAATAAAATCTTTAAAAAAAAAGAAGAAGAATGCATGGGGGGGCATTGTGGAATTAACACAAATATTGGCCCAAAGCGGTCCTTGAAGGAAGTTATCCTGGCTACCAGGTCTCCTGGACTCACACACCTTGCTCAGTGCCCCTCAGCTTCGGCGTCTCCTTGGTTGCTCTCATTGGGGGGTGAACCCTAGTTCTCTCCGGCTTGGTCCCCACTCCCAGCTTGCCTTTGAAGCTTTCTCCAGCCAGAACCCAATTTTCTACCCTCTGGTCGTCCCTGGCGTCCTCAACCCAGCACCCCTCAGCTCACTCCCATCCTGCCCAGATTAAGAGCCAAGGGCACTTGATGTGTCCAACCATGACAGGTGACCTGAGGTGCAGCTTTCGAGGCCAGACCAACCACCTCTTCTTTCCTCCTGTAACGAACGTGGGTTTTTTTTTTTTTTTGTCTTCGTTGAGAGGACTTATTTTTATTTTTTAAATTTTATTTAAAATTTAAATTAACATGAGTTAACATGCAGCGTTAGATTAGTTTCCGGTGTACAATATAGTGATTCAACAATTGCAGACACACTCAGTGCTTATCATGATGAGTGCCCTCCTTAATCCCTGTCACCTACTGATTTAATGACTGTGGATAAACTACATGCATTAGTAGTACTAGCAGAATCAGTACCTATTGCCATGAAAGTCCTTAAATGTCTGAAGATAAGGAACTGACTGGGGGAGTGGGGAAAAATTTCTTCAAGAAGGCTCCCTTAGAACTGGGTCGTCACAGGTAAGTAGGAGTTTACCAGGCTCCAAGGCTGGGGAACAGCATTTTAGACAGAAGGAAGAGCACTCACAAAGTCCACACCAGAGTCAAAGGAAAAGAGAGTATTTTCTAATCCTCTCATAGCAGGGAAAAAATGGTTTTCCCATTGGAGCGGGTGTGGCCGTGGGTTTGATCTGCCGCGTGACAAATGTCTGGGGAAGCTAAGGGCTCTTCACGTGGCAGTGGTGATCCTTCAGTTCACAAACCTCTGTCCGCTGGGCCCCTGCGACACGTGGGCACTGTGCTCGGTTTCGAAGTCCTGGGGAGACACCAGCAACCTGACAAAGACCCTTCCCTGAGCAGCAGGGCGAGTAGTTAGGCTGACTGATGGAGCCCAGCCCCGTCCCTAAACGCACTCATCATGGGGTCCGGATTTCACAGCAAATCACGGACGCAGAGACTGACCAACAAAGGACTTGAGAGTCTGAGCGGGAACAGACTCTAGTGTTAAGAGGGGACTCGCTGGAATGGGGACTCATCGTGCAAGTGGGCAGTTCATTAATCCCTCTTTCACGTACCTTAGATGCCACCCCGCGGCCGGAGGGGACATGTGTCGTGACTACAGGGATCACGGGGCTTCCCTGTATTTCTGAATCGTGGCTGTTTACAAAAACGCGTCCAGAAGGCACCTGAGTCCGAGTGGCCTGTGGGGTCGAAGCGCAAGTGGCGTTTTGTGGGGTTCCCCGGGGGAGGGAGGGCAGCAGCTGAGGCGTGCGTCCCGAGGCCCCCCCCATCCTGGGTGAGCACCTGTGACGACAGCTCTGACCTGGCCCCCTTCCCCCCAGGTATGGAGAGTGCAATCACACTGTGGCAGTTCCTGTTGCAGCTGCTGCTGGACCAGAAACATGAGCATCTGATCTGCTGGACCTCCAACGATGGTGAATTCAAGCTCCTCAAAGCAGAAGAAGTGGCCAAACTGTGGGGCCTCCGGAAGAACAAAACGAACATGAACTACGACAAGCTGAGCAGAGCCCTTCGATACTATTATGACAAGGTAAGCCCTCGACCTTCCGGGAGACGGTCTCGGGTGGGTGGCGCACCACCTGCGTATTTCCCTGGTGAAAGCAGATAATCGTGGACCATGAAGCAAATTAGAAACATCAAATGGAGGCAGTTGATGCAGGGTTTTCTGGTAGAGGGGAAAGCTGTGCCATAGGGATTTTTTTTTTTTTTTTTTTCTAGAAGCCTTTTGGGTACTCCTGTGGGTCGAATTCTGTTCCCTCCACATTTTCCCTTATGGTTGCGGCAAACCTTTGCTAACAACAGAAATTAGTCGTAGAGGTTCTCCGGCCTCCCTCATGGTCAGTTGCTTGAGTGACAGAACAAATGTGAAGATCTAGAAAGTCTGTGTATCCCGTCTGGTTTGTAGTTCACTCAGACGGGTCTTTGCTGGGAATTTGGTAGCCTGGGCAAGTTATTTAACAGCTCAGGGCCTTGGTGTCCTCCTTTATATGAGGGGGATCATAATAGCACCATCTCGGGATTGTTATGAAGATAAACATGTTCAGTGCTTAGAACAATGCTTGCTACCACCCCAGGGTTTTCACCTTCGTGGGAAATTTCTCTAATTAAAAGAAAAGCCATTTTCCTTTTTAAGTCACAGAGAGGAGTCAGAGTGCTTTGTTAAGTGGTAACACAGCCCAGTTGCCAAGCAAGGACAGTTGGGGTGAGTTTTAATGCATTTCTGAAAAAGCAGTTAATGTGCCTGCTAGGGCAAAATTATTGCTATTTAGAGGTAATCATTTCAGGCCTGTAATTTTGGCCATCTCTGCGTGGATCTGTTGTTGCTGTGTATTTAGCTTCATAGACGTAAAGACTTAGAGTCCTAATAAGGGTAAGCTTTTGTTCTGGTTTTGCCGTTCATATTGAAAGATGAATTAAAAGCTGATTTAAATATTAGTTCCTGATCTATATTTAGTGCCTGCCTTTTGCCAACCTCTTTGGAATTCAAGACAGAAGGATTACACATTTCAGGAAGTGGAGACATCATTAATTATAAAGTGTTCCTTTATATGATCATAATTACATATGATTATGTCATTGAAATGTTAAAGGTGCTTTCCTTTAATGTAGCGATTAATTAGTCCTGGCTTAATGCAGAGTCCTATGAAGAAGTAAAAGCACTTCTTGCAAATTGCACCGTCTGAAAGACTTGCAGATGGTTTATTGTTTTGCGTTTTCCCCCAGGTTCTGAGTTACACAATGGGAATGGGGGGGGCGGGGCTCTGAAGGGAAACAGTCATCTTGCCTGTTGGCAGGGTGCCTAAAAGCCTGGCTTTGAGACTAAAGAAATGTCATTGTTTTAAATCAAGGCGTCAAAGATAAGGGGCCCTGCCTCAGTATCTGTGACTCGGTTCTACCTCTCCTTGTGACCCCGCGCTCTGGGCTAAGGATGGTGCAACCTCAGGGGGAAGGGAGACCGTGGGCTGGAAATGAGTCCTCAAGAGACCCATCGAGCCATCGCTATGCAGACTACACCCGATCTCCCTTGGGCAGACTTTCTGGATTTCTGGGGACAGCAGTTTCGGGGCCTTCAGTCACCCGGCGTGCTTTGGTACCTTCTGTGTGTAAGGCTCTGTGCTGCGGGGCGCTTCCCGCTCTCTGTCCCATTTAAACACACAGCCCGGAGCTGGGCCCACTGCCTCTCCTTTTACACGCGAACACCGGACAGCCGAGGGCTTCCAGGAGAAACCCGCCCAGGCTCCCGCGGCCAGGAGCCATAGCATCAGATCTGACCCGGGCGTGTCGGCCTGCATTCCTGGCCACAAGGCACACGCCCTACCTTCTGGGCCATTCGTTTTCTTTGCCTCCTGAACACCTGAGTTGCAGGTAGGCAGTCGGGTAGCACAAAGGTGATTTTCGTTTATTAGCAGCCCTGCCGTGCACTGCGAGTCCGGTTGAGCCCAGGGCCCCAGTGGCCGCTGTGGCCTCCTCACCCCCTTGTCCCTTTCCTCTCCCACCGGCGCTGAGCTTGAGGTTTGGCCGCGTGACCTTTGAGCAGCCCGCTGGTGAGAACGGTGAGGGCGGGAGCAGCTCTTGTGCAGCGTGTCACGCAGGCATGGCCACCAAGGGAAGACGCTTTCTGTCCTTCCGCGAACACGGTACCCATGTGTGTACCCGGTGTATTCACACGTACACAATACACACGCACGGGCACTGTATGTGCACGCACTACATGTATGTATACACCACACGTGTGTGCCGTGTACACATGTACGCACACGATGTCCACGTGCATGCATGCAGCATACGTGCTCACATACACAGGGCAGGCGTGTGCACAACACGCATGTGTAGCCCATATGTGTGCGTGTGCATGCTCATGTGCGTATGTGTGCGCAGTGTGCGCGAGTGCGTGTAACATACATGCGTGTGCGCGCAGTACACATATGTACATGATACACGTGTGCACACGGGCATTTGAGTCTTTCTCATGAAGTGCTCTCAAGTGATGAGTAAGTGGGATCGTTAGACTCCTGATACTGTTTAAAATACAAAGGGAGGAAAGGAGAAAGGGCAGAGGATAACGGAGAAGAGAGGAAGGGGGAAAGGAGAGGGGAGAAGGGGGAGAAATGGCAAAGGTTACAAAGATTATAGGTGATTTTACATTTCATGATGAACACTTTCTAAAAAGATTTTATTTACTTATTTTAGAGAGAGAGAGAGAGCCCGCATGCGAGCAGGGGAAGGGGCAGAGGGAGAGGGAGAGAGAGAATCTCAAGCAGACTCCGTGCTGAGCACGGAGCCCGATGGGGGGCTCGATCCCACGAGCCTGAGGTCATGGCCTGAGCCGAAATCAAGAGTCGGACGCTTAACCGACTGAGCCCCCCAGGCGCCCCCATGATCAACACATCTTTCAACTTTGCCAGTGTTACTCTGTGACTACGTATATACATGGAGCCATAAGAAATTGCCAGCATATGACCATTTTTGACCCACAGAAATGGCAGCCTCACGTGGTTTGGTTTCTAACCCGAGAGGCAGAATGGAGGAGGGTCTGTGAAGGGAAGTCCTGGCCGCACGTTCCTCCGTGTGCCCCATCCTGCTCCGCAGGCACTCCTCACGGTTCCCTGGCTCTCAGCATGACCCTCTCTGCCTCTCAACATCCTCCTCAGTCCCCTCCTCCATCCTCCAAGCCTGTTCATCTGTCCATCCCCCCCCATCTCCCAAAGGACACTGATCCAGAGCCTGCTCCGCATGTGGCATAAAGTTGGTGACTCCCTAACTTGACGGCTGCGTTCTTCTCTCCCGTTGGCTTTTCTGTCCGTTGCTAGCTAGCATCTCGTCACTGTTGGCTGAAACTGCCCATCCCTTGGTGTGTCCTGATAAGGAAGTTTTCCTGCAAGCATGAGAAGATCATTATTTTTTGTTGTCGTTGTAGGTTATATTTTTAGCTCATTCCAGAATACTAGAAATGGACAGAGGGAAAAAAAAGGGGGAAATGTGTGCAGTACTTTGTAGAAGGCATTGGAGCAGAATAATGTGTGGACTTATTGTATCTGCTTGGGGCTGAGACCTGATCTTTAATCATCATTCCTCAACCCCGCCCCCCCTTCCATCATTATAGCAAAGTGGTTAGTAGCATGAACTCGAGGCTAGACTGCGGGGTTTAAATCCAGCTCCATGACTGTGAGTGCTTTGCCTGATCCCTCTTGGTCTCGGCTTCCTTCCTAAAGTGGGCATGATAGTAGAGCTTGCACCATGGGGCGGTGGTGGGGGTTAGCTGAGTTAACACATGGTCGGTTCTGAGAACCGTGCTCAAAGTAAAGTAGGTGCTACAGAGTATTAGCCAGAGGAATGATCCAGATGATATTTTCTTCATCACTAATTTGAAAAATTCAGACCTGTGTACCACCTTCCGAATGAGCACACCCAGAAGTCGGGTGAGGTCAGATCTTGGGTGACTGAGGATGGATGACCACAGTTTCTTTACCCCACTGCCTATCTTTATATATGGAGGCTCTTCTGAAATTCAATGACTAAGATGCTTGAATATTTAAATGATGCATCCTTGCCCCTCTGAGGGGCACCTTTCTCTGCGCACCCCCAGTTGGAGTAGCCAGCAGGGGCTTTGCACTCAGCGCTGTCTGGGCTAGAGTCTGGCGGTCCCTCAGCGCCTGAGCGACCGTTCCCCCATGGGAAAGGAAGCCTCATAACAGCACCTTCCCTCAGCGGGTGGTGTGAGGATTAAATGTGAGCACGCGTACGAGGTGCTCAGCACAGCGTTGGGCACCTGCTAAGTACACCCCCGATGCTTGTCACTTCTGTTATCTGGGTTTATGAAACTCCCTGCATTGTGTGACGGTCGCCTGTTTATATCACCTCACAAAACCGTCTTCACCGTGGTCTCCCGGTTTACTCCCTTTTGTTGCTCTGGCACCTTCTATAGGGTCTGGCGCCTAGGAGTTGCTCAGTAAATGTGAAGTGAAAGCAATTGGATAACCTAATGAGGTGGACACTACCCAGATACAAATCACTTTTATAATGAAAGGTGACATTCGGTAACTGCTAAACTTGGAAACACAGCGTCACTGCCTTGTCCTGGATTCGGGTCCTAGGATGGTCGTAACCACAACGTGTGTGGCTTAGAACAACAGAAATGTGTTGTCTCATGGACGTGGAGGCCAGAAGTCGAAGATCAATGTGTCAGCAGGGCCGTGCTCCCTCTGGGGCTCTGGGTAGATCCTTCCTTGCCTCCTCCTAGCCTCTGGTGGGGGCTGTCTGTCCTTGTGTCCCTCGGCTAGCACCTGCATCACTCCAGTCTCTACCTGGCTTGGCACGTGATGTTATTCCTGTGTGTCTCCGTGTCTGAATTTCCCTCTTCTAAGGACACCAGTCCTACTGGATTTGGGACCACCCTTATGACCTCCTCTTAACTCAGTTACGTCTGCAAAACCCGATTTCCAACGATCACATTCACAGGTACGGGGGGAGGGGGTTCGGACTTCAGCATTTCTGTTTGGGGGACACACTTCAATTTGTCATATGTACGTA